TCCTTCCTTCCTTCCTTCCTTCCTTCCTTCCTTCCTTCCTTCCTTTCCTTTCCTTTCCTTTCCTTTCCTTTCCTTTCCTTTCCTTTCCTTTCCTTTCTTCCTTCTTTCCTTCCTTTCTTCCTTCCTTCCTAAGGCTAAGCACTGCAAATCAAAAGAGCCTTTTCCAATTTTATAACAGAAGTTTTTGCTGCGAGATTTTTTTTTTTAAAAAGTGCTGGGTTTAAATGCGTGTTGTTGGTTTTTTTGCGTGTATTTCAAGAAGGTTTGGATGCCCAACCCGTTGGAAACCTAGCATTGGATTCCCACAACCTGGGTCAGGTTGAGACCCTGGAGAGATAATTCTGGACTTGTTTAGAGACTTGAATTTTTAACAAATCGCATTTTTTTCCAAAGTAAAGCTTGTATTTTCTCGTACAGTTTAGTGTGACTTTCTATAGCCATACATGGATTGATGGTTTCATGTTGGTGTTTGTAAGCCACCCGGAGTTGCCTTGTGATGAGATGGACAGCAGGCAAATTTAACAAATCAATAAAAAAATACAGACATTTTATTCATGCGTTCGGGAAATACATGCAAACCGATTTATTCAATCAGCAGCATAACCTGATTAGGGGGGAAATTCAGTCCCCAACTCTCTATTTCCCTGACCCTTTCCTGTCCCCCAAAATTCAGGGAAACCTGGTTAGTGCTTCCAAGCGCCACTTGTCCAGGGTTGGCTAAGTTTGCAGAATTAAGCTAAGTTAAAGCTGTAGCCTGCACTGACCCATCATTTAACCACATGTCCTGGTTTCACACATTTAAACCAGGCTTCAATGGGGCTGAGTGAGTAGTTTGGTGGTTCAGAATGTCTGGAAAAACCAGCCATTGTTTTGGGAAGTGGCCTGATTCATGTGAATGCGGGCAATAGAATAGAATAACAGAGTTGGAAGGGACCTTGGAGGTCTTCTAGTCCAACCCCCTGCCTAGGCAGGAAACCCTACACCACTTCAGACAAATGGTTGTCCAATCTCTTCTTAAAAACCTCAAATGTTGGAACCCCCACAATTTCTGGTGGCAAGTCGTTCCACTGATTAATTGTTCTGTCAGGAAATTCCTCCTTAGTTCTAAGTTGCTTCTCTCCTTCATTAGTTTCCTTCCATCCATGGCTTCTTGTACTGCCTTCAGGTACTTTGGAGAATAGTTTGACCCCCTCTTCTTTGTGGTAGGCCCTCAAATATTGGAAGACTGCTATCATGTCTCTCCTAGTCCTTCTTTTCATTAAACTAGACATACCCACTTCCTGCAACAGTTCTTCATATGTTTTGGCCTCCAGTCCCCTAATCCTCTTTGTTGCTATAATAGTTCTAGTCACCTGGATTACATTTCTGTGAAGGTAACTGGTGGATCCTACAGTCCTCTCTTTATTCTATTATCTCCCCCCTCCCATCCCCAATGAGTAAAACTGAACATTGAAAAATTATGTGAAAGCATAAAAGAGTTTCTCAAAGATTACATTAGAAGGGAAGTAAGGAAGGATGGATGGACGGACAGAAGGAAGGAAGGAAGGAAGGAAGGAAGGAAGGAAGGAAGGAAGAAGGAAAGAAAGAAGGAAAGAAAGAAAGAAAAGGAAGGAAGGAGGAAGGAAAGAAAGAAGGAAGGAAAGAAGGAAGGAAAGAAAGAAGGAAAGAAGGAAGGAAGGAAAGAAGGAAGGAAAGAAGGAGGAAGGAAGGAAGGAAGGAAGGAAGGAAGGAAGGAAAAAGGAAAGAAAGAAGGAAAGAAAGAAAGAAAAGGAAGGAAGGAGGAAGGAAGGAAAGAAAGAAGGAAGGAAAGAAGGAAGGAAAGAAGGAAGGAAAGAAAGAAGGAAAGAAGGAAGGAAGGAAAGAAGGAGGAAGGAAGGAAGGAAAGAAAGAAGGAGGAAGGAAAGAAAGAAGAAAGGAAGGAAACAAAGAAAGAAGGAAGAAAGGGAGGAAGGAAGGAAGGAGGAAGGAAAGAAAAAAGGAAGGAAAGAAAGAAGGAAAGAAGGAAGGAAGGAAAAAAAGGAAAGAAGGAACGAAAGAAGGAGGAAGGAAAGAAAGGAAGGAGGAAGGAAGGAAGGAAAGAAGGAAGGAAGGAAGGAAAGAAGAAAGGAAGGAAGGAAAGAAGGAAGGAAACAAAGAAGGAAGGGAGGAAGGAAAGAAGGAAGGAAACAAAGAAGGAAGGGAAGAAGGAAAGAAGGAAGGAAAGAAATTGGGGGGGGGGGGAGAAGCTTTCAGATTGTTTTTAAAGTTCAATTAAGGCCTGGATTCAAGATATAAAAGTCCCTGCATCCCCCGGCTGGAAATCGGATAGGAATTAGGGTTTTTTTTTCCTTTTTCTTTTTTGAAGCCGGCAGCAAAAGGAAGCTGGACGCGGGGAAATTTCTTTTGCAAACGCTCGCAGGAAAAAGGATAAAAAAAGGAAAAAAAAGGGCGAGAAGAGAGGCCTTTTTCTTTGCTCGTCTCCCACCCGTTCTGCCGCCCTTTCACTTTCGCCTGGGGGCTTTCTCTCCGCGGTGGGCCTGACGTTGGAGGGTCATTAATCGATTACGGCCTTCGCCCTTCAAATTTACGAGGCCACCAGAGGAGCCCAGCCAGCCTGGGCAAAAAAGTGGGAGGTGGGGACTTCCTATAAATTCGAGTTTTGTAGATCTCTGGACCGGAAGATGGGAAGGGGGAGACTGCTCTGGACCCTCCTTTGTCCCCCCACAAACCTCCGAGCCCAAGTCCTCCCCCCTCTAGCCCAGCACACAATCTGTACTTTCTTCTACCCAAACGAGCCGTTGTCTCTATTTCTGCAACCTTCTGTTTTTAAAAGAATCTATCTATATAAAAGCCACTCAGGCATCGTCACAAAATCTCCAGAACCTCAAAGAATACAAACTTGAAATTTGGCACCTATATTCCTCTTGGCTTCTAGGGGCTCACTAAGGAAGGATTTTTCGAAATGACCATCAGAGCTATTAGTATTTCCTATATTATTATTATTAACACGCTCTGATGCTAAGGAGTTCTACTCCCCCTCCCCACCTGAAAAGAAATAGCTTCCAAATGCAAAACACAAGAATAGGAGTTTCGGTTTCAGTTTTACAGCACCAAGCAGCTTTAGTACAGAACAGTTGAGCTAAGCCACACCCAGGCTCCTTGCTGTCTCCTTGCTCACACAATAAATACTGCTTCAGTTTCCAAACAGCCCTCAACTTTGGGGAGGAAAATAAGGGGGTGGGGGAAATTGTTGACACCCGAACTAGGGATTATCAACTTGGTGCCCTCCAGATATTTCCCAAATCCGTAGCTATAACGTTGACTTCACTTATTTGGCCAGCTGGAAGAACTTTCAACTGTTCCTGAACATTGTTTCAATTTTTCTCAGATCACCCAACTGAAGATCGACAACAACCCCTTTGCAAAAGGATTTCGAGACACAGGGAATGGGCGGAGAGAGAAAAGGTAAACTGAGAATATTTTTTCCCCTTAATGACAACAAGGTGGGATTTCTACAGGCAAATGCTGTTTTTTTTTTTTTTGTTTCTGTACTTTCTCCTCATCTTAGCTTGCCGTCCTAAATACAGTTCTCTTTGGGATTAAGATCTGTTAAGCCGTTCAGACAATTGTATTGTAATCTTGTTATTCTTATCTGCAACCTTATTCGTGTTTACTCAAAACAGTTGTGGGCAAGCCTTACTACCTGGATTAAGTCTTCAGCTTGCTGAAAACGAAGAGAAATTGACCCAACTTTGTAATCAAACACTGTGTTCATCTGAGGTGTTGGACTGTGGTTGGTTTAATCACGGTTTGTTAAACAACCTCCTGCTGTCTGGGTTTTGATAGCACCTTGCCGTAAACATGACTTACAAGTCACCGTTGCTGGATTTATACGCAACACATTAAATTGCAGAGAAGGGAATGGAGGGGAAGGAAGAGGGGAGAAGGGGAGGAGAACAGAGAAGACAAGACTAGGGGTGCTATTATAGCAGTCTTCCAGGATTTGAGGGGCTGCCACGGAAGAGAGGGGGTCAAATTATTCTCCAAAGCACCTGAATAGGATAGGAAAATACGCTGACCCTGTCCTTTTTGTGTCAGCCCCTCAAATACTGGAATACTGCTTTCATGTCCACCCTAGTCCTTCTTTTCTCTAGTCCGGCCAAACCGAAATCCTGCAACTGTTCTTCACATGATTTTAGTCTCCAGTCCCCTAATCATCCTGGTTACTCTTCTCTGTACTTTTTCCAAAGTCTCAATGCCTTTTTTGTAATGTGGTGACCACAACTGGATGCAGTATTCCAGGTGTGGCCTTACTAAGCCTTTATAAAGCGGCACTAATATCTCATACGATTTTGATTCTGTGCCTCTGTTTATACAACCAAGGATTGTAATTCGCTTGTTTGGCTGCTGCCAAAAAAGGACAAGAGAGATTTAACCGTAAAAGAATTAAGGAGAAATTTCCTGACAGTGAGAATTAATCAGTGGAAAGATTTGTCTCCAGAAGTTGTGGCTGCTCCCACCCTGGAGATTTTAAAGAAGAGATTGGACAGCCATTTGTCTGCAAGGGTATAGGGCAGGGGTCTCCAATCTTGGCCACTTTAAGACTTGTGGACTTCAACTCCCAGAATTCCTCATCCAGCTTTACACTGCTTTGCTGGCTGAGGAATAATGGGAGTTGAAGTCCACAAGTCTTAAAGTGGCCAAGGTTGGGGACCCCTAGTATAGGGTCTCCTACTTGAGCAAGGGGTTGGACTAGAAGACCTCCAAGGTCCCTTCCAACTCTGTTGTTCTATATTCTATTAAACCGTACACAAAGTTTCACTCAACGTTCAAAGCACCGCCTTAGCTAAAGATGCTACCTTGGCTTAAACCACAGCTCCCCCTGCCTCTTACAAACAAATATTATATTAACCAATCCTAAATTTTTGTCAATGGGGAAATGAGAGCCGAACTTGTGAAGGAAAGAGGTTTGGTTTTTTTGCTCCAGATTTCATAGCAGTCAGGAACTGATTTGCAAATGGCACCGTGGCGGCCATTTTGGCTCTCTAAGAAACTAAGCAGGGGGAGGCCCGGTTAGCAATTGGATGGGAGACCACCAGTTGATCCCTGGGAATGCTGATTAGGCTGAAGGATTAACCAACCAGGAAAGCAGCATCAAGCCCCTCTCACATTGGTAAGCATTGTTTTTTGAGCAGGAGTCAATTTTCCTCAAAAGGGACTCGGCTTTGGTGAGGTGATGTCCATTTTTTTTTTCAGTTGGGAAGTTTTGAGGTGCTGCCCTTTGGGTTTTGTTTGGACCTTGAGGAGTACAACATAGATCAGGGATCTCCAAACTTGGTGACTTTAAGACATGTGGACTTCAAATCCCAGAATTCCCCTGCCCTAATCACTTCCTGTTTCTCTATCATAGCTGGCTGAGGGATTCTGGGAGTTGAAGTCCACACATCTTAAAGTTGCTACATTTGGAGACCCCTGACATAGATAGTAGGGCTGGAAGGGACCTTGGAGGTCTTCTAGTCCAACCCCCCTGCTCAAACAGGAAGCACTACACCAATACGGCTCAACCTTGGCCACTTGAAGATGGGTGGACTTCAACACCCAGAATTCCCCAGCAATAATTGCTTCCTGTTTCTCGAGCATAGCTGGCTGAGGGATTCTGGGAGTTGAAGTCCACCCATCTTTCAGTGGCCAAGATTGAGCGACATTACTGCTACCATTCCAGATAAATGGCTGTCCGATCTCTTCTTGAAAGCCTCCAGTGATGGAGCACCTCGAATTCTAGAGATAAGAGGAGGAAGGAAGTGGGGGCGGGACGACTCGAACCCTCTCAAATGCTGACGCTGAAGATTAAAACTTGTCCCCTTCCCCCCCTTTTCCCTCCACTGAAAGGAAGCAGCTGACTCTGCCTTCCCTGAGGATGTATGAGAATCCCTGCAAGCAGGACCGAGATGGCGGAGAATCCGATGCATCATCTTGCGAACCTGCCCCTGTGCGAGAATGTCTTCACTCTCCATTGGCGACAACCCCCAGTCCTTTACAGGTCCATCGAAACAGCAGAGGTGAGGATCTATTTTTTTGAGGGAGGGGGGATTGCAGGATCCCCAAGGGGTGGAGGGAGGGGCGATTCCTTCTCTAACCATGGTGGGAGGCAGTGGTGGGATTCTACCAGTTTCCCTATCGGTTTGGCGATGACGCATTTCGCACACACATGTGCTCAGCTTTGCAAACACAAGCTAAGGCATTTTTTGCTACCGGTTCCATCGAACCGGGCCGAACCAGTAGCATTTCACCAATGGTGGGAGCAGAGGTGGGTATTCAGCCAGTTCTGACCAGTTCTGGAGAACCGGTCATGGAAATTTGGAGTAGTTCGGAGAACCAGCCAATCCCACCTGAGACTGGCCCCGCCCCCATCTCTTCTCTGTCTCCCATTGAGTCCCAGCTGATTGGCTGGGTCTTCTTTGGTTGTCCTGCACAGGAGAGCGGAGCTGGAAAGCAGGTTAGTGGGGCGGGGAGGGAATGGGGATTTTGTAGTATCCTTCCCCTGCCACGCCCACCAAGCCACACCCACCAAGCCACGCCTAAAGAACTGCTAGTAAAAAAAATTGAATACCATCCCTGGGTGGGAGGCCACCCCCAGTTCTAATCCTGAACTCTCTGGACACCCCAATACAAGCCTTTCCCTCCCTTTAAAAGGGTTTGAATTTCTTCCACGAAAAATATAACAAATCTATAGGTCATCCTCGACTTATGACTACCATTGAGACCAAGTTTTCTGTCGCTATGCGAGGCAGCGGTTCAGAGACCTTTGTCCCATTTTACCAACTTTCTTGCCCCCATGGTTAAGCGAATCGCTGCCATTGTTAGGTGAATAATACACCATTGTTTAAGCGAATCCGGCTTCCCCGTTGATTTGTTGGTCAGGAGTATATGCCTGTGTGCCAAGCGTCTGGATTTTTAATCACGTGATCGTGGGGGATGCTGCCACGGCCGTAAATGTGAAAAACAGCCATAAGTCATTTTTCCCAGTGACATCGTAACTTTCAACCATCCCTAGAGGAAAAGTTGTAAGTCAAGGACTATGTGATGACCCAGGGTGGGATACAAAATAAACACAGTCACAGAAAACAGACGAAGCCCCTTTTATTCCTTCAGTTTGCTTCCGAGCTCTGAATATCTTTGAGTGAAGACAAAAACACTCCCACACAAACAGTTTCACGAAGAAGGAAAAAAAGCAACACAAACCAGGCAAGATAAAAGGCTGGAGGATGTCCACAGATAACACACACTGGGAAGGACCCCAAACTCAGAGAGGAACTATAAGCTAGAGATATTTACCTGCTTTGTTTCCAGCGTTCGCCAGTACGCAGGTCCATCCTCTTATCCAGTTCTCACAGCTGAAGCCCATGAAGGGGATCAAGGCCCTTTCCTCCCCCATAGACCATGCCATTCATGTCTCTCCCTTATCCCCTCATCCCTGCATGCCCTAGGATGGAGAGGGGATGGGCCTGGGTCTTCCTCTGACTGCCCAGCTGGCCTCTGCCCTTCCCCAGCCTCCTCCACAACCTCCGGAGCCCCACTTCCACTCCCTGTCGGCTGTTCCTCCTCTCCCTCAGAGTCAGTCTCCACCAGGGGCATGACAGACTCTGTACTGCTGTGTGACCTAATCCCTTCCCAAATTATAATCACCTCTCTATCCCAGTTAATTTGTACAGGTGGTCCTCAAACCTATAACCACCACTGTGCCCAAAATTTAGGATGCTAAGTAAGAAATGATGGTGAAGTGCATTTTGCCCCCCCCCATTTTATGAACTTTTCTCGCCACGTTTGTTTAGTGAATTGTGGCAGACGTTAAATGAGTCACATGGTCGTTAAGTGAATCCGGCTTCCCCATTGGACTTTGCTTGTCAGAAGGTCGCAAAAGGGTATCACGTGACCCCCCCAGGGACATTGCCACTGTCATAAATAGGGTCAGTTGTTCAGCATAAATCACGTGACCATAGGGGAATGCCGCAACGGTCATAAGTGTGAATGAACCGTTGTAAGTCGAGGACTATCTATGTTATACCATAGTTGGAGATGCAGGTTCCAAAAGGGTGAGAAACAGATGTTTCTAGGCTTAAATTAGGTTTATCCATGGAGGAGAATGTGAATATTATTATTTTTTAAAATAATATTGTCTCTAATCCTCTCTCTGCTCCCTTTCAATCTAATTCCTTGCTACTGATAAATGCATTTTGCTATCTATTGCCCCCTGCTGGTTGTATTAAACCCCCCTTTTTTTTCTCCTGTGGAATTTTTAGTCACTTTTACCCTAAAAACTTTCCGAAAATACCCAGAATTATTAAAATGTGCAAACCGAAGCTTTTCTGATTTTAAAATGAATAAACTTGTGTTTTTTTAAAAAAATCCACACCAAATAAACTGACAATAAATTAATCAAGGTTGCCATCTTTGCACACCTAGTGAAGAGAAGGACCAGGGGAGACTGGACAGCGGTCTTCCAATATTTGAGGGGCTGCCACAGAGAGGAGGAAGGGGTCAAGCTATTTTCCAAAGCCCCTGAAAGCCAGACAAGGAATAATGGATGGAAACTGAACAAGGAGAGATTCAATCTAGAAATAAGGAGAAACTTTCTGACAGTGAGAACAATCAACTAATGGAACAGAAGTTGCCCTCAGAAGTTGTGGGAGCTTCATCACTGGAGGCTTTCAAGAAGAGATTGGATTCCCTTCTGTCAGAAATGGTGTAGGAGCTTGGCCAGGGGGTGGACTAGATGACCTACAAGGTCCCTTCCAACTCTGATTATCTTTTATCTGTTATAAGAGCCCACAAAAAAATCACTATATGGGTAATCTACAATTGAGCCCAACATTTATGTTGCTAAGTGAGGAATTAGTTGAAATTTGCCCCACTTTACGACTTTTCTTGACATGACCCCAGGACACTGCAATCGTCATTAATGTGAGTCAGTTGTCAAGTATCCAAATGTAAGTCATGTGACCATGGGGATGCTGCAACAGTCATAAGTGTGAAAAAAATGGCCATAAGACACTTTTTTCAGTGCTGTTGCAAACTTTGAATGGTCACTAAGTGTGATATGTCGCGGACTACCTATATTTTAAGTGTCTTGGAATTAAAATTTGCAGCAGTTTACTCTCAAGTAAAATCTTTGCCCGTGCTTGAACCCAAGTCAGACAGCTGCATTATAGCTTAACCTGTCAATCTAGTTTATGCAGCTCTAATGCAATTTGTCTGGTTTTGTCTTAGCAACGAGAGATGGTTAACCAGGATTGATGGTTTAATATAAAAGAACAAACGCAGCCAATAAAATATCCAGGCTTTCAGCTTTAAACTATTATTTTACTTCTGAGTAAACCTACACAATATAGAATAGAATATGCAATATGAAATATGGAATATGGAATGTAGAATGAGGAATGTGGAATATGGAATATGGAATATGAAATAGAAATAAATAGAAATAGAATATGGACTATGGAATAGAATAGAATAGAATAGAATAGAATAGAATAGAATAGAATAGAATAGAATATGGAATATGGAATATGGAATATGGAATATGGAATATGGAATAGAATGTGGAATGTGGAATATGAATAGAATAGAATGGAATATAGAATAGAAATAGAATAGAATATGGAATAGGAATAGAATGGAATGAAATTAGAATAGAATAGAATAGAATAGAATAGAATAGAATAGAATAGAATAGAATAGGAGTATGGAATAGAATAGAATTTTTATTGAGAACAGAATAGAATAGAATATGGAATATGGAATA